GGGGGGGGGGGGGGGGGGGGGGGGAAGAGAGAGAGAGAGGACACTCATTGTGTCCTTTCAAGTCCCTATATTTACTTGTCTTTTCCATTTTTTCATGACCCCTGCCGCCAAATGGTACAGTTTCGGCCCGAGTCGATATGAATTCCAGCAGCGTTTTTAATTTTCTTATTAGACAATACTCACTTTCTGTTTACGCAGGCAGTGTCATACTCAAAACGGGATCTTAAGACCTGACCTACTTACACCTCTACCGTTGTGCTGCTTGTGAAACTTATAAGCACGTCATTAGTTATGATGATGAAGACAAGATGTCTCTCACTTCACTGCAGGCAACAGCGCCACGGAAAGGGGGTAGGGGGGTTAAAGTCAATCCGGAAACACTGTAAATGCCATGTTATGCTTTTTCTTTGCGATTTTAGCGCATAGGTGAGGGAGCCTGTCGAACTTCAGCCAGTGCTTGGGGTCCCGAACGGTACGATCGTGATTTTTGGGGTCGCGCATGAAAAAGGTTGGGAAGCCCTGGTCTAGTACCTAACGTCAACATTGCCCCCCACCTTTTTGCCTGTCCATGAAAGCATCCAGTTTCTTCTTAAAGATAGTCACAGAAGGGGCAGCCACTACTTCGTCATCTAACGCATTCCACGCGTTCACCACTCTGCAAGTAAGTAAGAACGCTTGAAAAGTTGCGAAATTAAATTTATTATGCCTAGCTCATAACTTGATATATGAAGTATATCGGTCAATCAGGCTAATATATCCAGGTATCACCCGGAATTTTAATAAAATCCTTCATGTTCGTGCAAAATTCTGTTGCTCCTATTAAGCGGAATTCTAGCAATAGCATGAGTTAATATATCTGGAATAGTATGGTATTTCCTTCCTCTTTCAACAGAGGGGTTATATTTTCTCTAACGAAGCTATGTGTTCCTTCAAGACTTCCTAAAATTATTCCTTTCAGTTCTATTCCGCAAATTATATCCAATTCCGAAGTTGACTTGGGTGCCATTGTGCCGTGTGGAAAGGGACATGTAAACAGGGACGGAAATAATCGGTTCTATTCTTCATCCAATAGGATGTTGGCTGCCCTGTTTATAGAGTAGTAACACGAAAAAATGACGGGAGGGAGAATAGTTGGGCATCTGGCGACATGATACGTTTCACGAATTTGGAGTGCTATTCGGTGGGAAGGGGGCTTACTTGAGGTTACGTCCGTGGACGAGAGTCCGAGCCAATGACCGCTGATGGGCAGGACGCCAAAGAATGAAATAACCACGATAAATTTCATCGACATCACCGTCTTGTTTCCTAGAAACGCTGCATCAATCCACCTTCCAGTCGTCGCATCGTATCATCGAGGCCGGGATCTGGGAGCCGTGGTGCGAAGTGTCAATTCAATTCTGCATCTTCTTCGTAGCATACAGTACTGTATACTGCCTGGCACTCTGGGGACCATTAGACGTCGTAGAATTCCCACCAGTCAGCAAATTATCCCCGGCCAAAAACGGCTTATTTCCTCAATTCAACTCGTACAAGCTTGGCCTACGGGTAGCATATGCAGCGCTCTTCCCGTAGGGAAGAACAATTAAAGACATCTGATCTAAACTGCATTGCAATCTGATCTCTTCGTCATGGGTTATCATCGATCAAAGGATGGGCAGGACTAAAGACCTGCTGTATGTGGCAAATGTGGCTTTGTCCAACTCGATATGGCACTCAACTCGTTTTATGCTAATTTTTGCATCAGTGCTGGATAGCGATGAAATGTGAATGGTAACTTGCCCGGAGAGTTACACGACTCGGCCGAGGAATCCTTCGATGCCTAGCGAGGGCAAAAAGTTACTCAATATTCCTTAAATCATTTACTTCAGTGGTAAATATGCACCAGTAAACGGAGCAAATGCTTGGGGAACAAAATTATAAATTCAATAGTAT